TAATGTTTTGTGACGCAATGCATCATGGGATACTTTGTAGTCCCAAGTCTGCAGAAGGATGCACTGACACAGTGGGCGGAGCAAGAACACATCAAGAAACTTTGCGTGAACTTGCCATGATGCGTTAGGACTGGAACAGTACTTGGGACAGCGTTGAGGACGTTTCACAAGGAGGCGGGGACGCGACTTCAGACGAGTACACATACTGGAAAATGGCCCATCATTGTCCAAACTGTTACCATAGCAACACTGCATAGACTTGCAAAGGTGACAATGTGTACACGTATTTAGTTTGGCATTAGGTCAAAGGTTGTGACTTTAGATGGGAAAGATGCTCTGCTGTTTGGTTGTTTATCCCCCTTCATCTGAAGATGAAGGCTATATCTAGCTGGGTGACTAGCGCCCCCTATCTGTTTACAATGATTAGTCAAAAATAATCCACTGAGTTGCTCTTTAAAAACTATACCTGGTAATGATTTACACATTTAGAGAAACCAGTCTTCACACAACTATTCAGTTCTAACAAGCAGGGAAATATTCCTAATACACTTCTCATAGCAGGTCATATTATATTCACCCCCACCCTGCTGAAAGGATAAAAAACATCCCAGCATGCTCCATCCCTGGCCTGACTGGAAGACTCCATGGCAACCTCCGGGGTCAGGGGTTGTGGAGAGGGGTTGCTTTTATCTGCTAATGAGGTCAGTACCTGGGGCTCCGCGTCTCTCCACCTTTTTTTCTCCGCATCACCCCCGTGTGGTGAGAGACAAGGGGGGTAGCGCCGGCGCTGAATGCCTGCCAAGTGACACCAATGCCATCTTCACTCATCTCCTCTGTGGCCTCTGAGCTGCACACTTTGAGCCTGGGACAGGGCGCTGGGCGGGTGGGATGACTCGTATATGGCACTGCACTGTAGGGAGGATAACAAATGGCTCCAAAATCCCCAGTCTGGCTCCTCATTGTGTCATAATTGTTCTCATGCAAATCGCCAACCGGCAGAGATGGTGATGTCGCACCTTCGTCTCCGAGGATTGATTGATTGCCTGCAGAGCAGACCAACGCGGTGTGCATGGTGCAGCTCCTCCACAGAGGGGTGATGACTGATGTTTTGTTGTTTTGCACAAATCTGCAGTGCTGAAAGATGACGACTCACACGTCAAACAAGCCAAATGAGCAACATTCATGTTTTTTTAAACACTTTGGCGAAAGCTTGTTATTTTATGGGCGGCCTAAACAAATCTGTGTTAAATGAGAAGTGTCGCTGCTGGTTGGGTGAGGTCTTGATGCCCCTGGAAAGCCCTCCTTGGCCCATGTGCCCCTTGAAGGGGGCAGAGAGGCACCTTCCCTCACACACACGCCCCCTGTCATGTTCGCAGGACTGAAAAAGGACTCCATTAACTGTGATTTAGTGGCAGTGTCATGCAGTCGCCTTTGTGAGAAGGTGACATCCAGTGAATAGGAATCAGAACTTTCTCCCCCTCCTCCTCCATCTTTCCTTCTCTTGGCTCCACGCTCAGGGTCTGAGGAGTTGGAGTGTCTCTGGTGTTGGTGGTGGTGTGTGTGTGTGTGTGTGTGTGGGGGGGGGGGGGGGTACCGTTAGGGTTTCCCTGCCACATGTCTCTGAGTGGCAGACTCTTTGTGGCCTGGGCCGGCCTGTTTGTTTAGCCTTTTCTCAGAGCGCCGCCTCACACATCACTGCTTCATCTGGACAGGAGAGGAATTCCAATTCATTTATTTCATTTCTCCTTTTTATCTCACTGTCAAACTCAAAAGCGCCATAGTTTTTGCTCTGATTGTGCTTTTGTTTCCCAACTTTCAACGTTTACTCTGCGAGTTTAAAACTACATTTTCAACATCTTTCAGCCCAAATTTCCCAAAAGAAATTCCCCAAACTTGAATTATTCTTCTAAACAAAGCAAGTCGTGGGGTTTATGCGGCCTTATGAAGCAACCAAAGAGCAGGAAATCCAAAGTTCAAAGCTTCATCATCTGCAGATGCCTCAGAGCCTTTCCCGAAAGGGAGGAATGCTGAGAAATCAAACTGTCTGCTCCACTGGCAACATGCATGAAAGATAAATAAAAGATAAAAGACAGGTGATGTCATCCACACTCGCATTGTAAACCCTGTCGTTCCAAAAAACAGGGAGATTTATAAAGTAATAAATAAAGTTGCAGACAGCTCTGTCTGAAACGTTCCCTGACTAACGGTGACCTTTCAGATGCTGAACGCAGCTCAGTCATATTAATCATACATCAGGTGATTTTAGCCCATAACGTTGAACTCAGCTGATTCTTTTAATGTCCGGTGACTTTTTAGAGTACATCCACCCATGACTCTTTGAACTTTTCCCAACAGCTGTGGATGGATTGCTTCCTCTGGCGTCAGCAGTTTTCCACAAAGACTGTCCACGTCCCGGAAAACCGGGAGGGCAGAGAGGTCAGGTTTGGTTATTCTTCCCTGGCCAGTTGGAAAACAAAAAAAGAAAAATGTTTACACAAACAGGAAACTTTTCTAATAATTGGAAACATGTTATGTTGGTCACAACACCCCTCATCCCCCCACAGCGTGCACTTACACACCTACTTCTACACACTGGGACTGTCTGGGATGATATTTATGTCGGACATTAAAGGTTTTGGGAAGAGTTAAGCTTTCTTCGACATTAAAGTCTGGAACGTTTGAGCCGAGCTAAAAGCTCATTACCGCTTGTTGAGTTCAGCCCCCCACCCCCCGGCCACCTCAGATCAACCCTAATAAGTCGCAGGTTTATGGACCTTTTGCTCCCCAAATGTCTGCCATGTTGCTAATTGCGTGCATCTGTGGCTGGTGTTTTGATGTTTGGCCTCAGCGTGCAGCTGTCCGCTCCAGCAGCAGCCGCTGGGTAAAAATGGCACAGCCCTGAGATCCGCATGCAGACCTTTAATGGCAAACATGCATGTTGTGTTTGAGCAGAGTGGCGGCCATTTTTTCCTCAAGTTTTGATAGTTTATTCAGATTTGACACATGATCAGACTAAAAATTATTGAATAAATCCGGATTTCTTTCATCTGGAGCTAAAACACTAAAAAAATCTATTTATTTTTGAATGAGTTTACTACATTTTTATTGTATTGCATTAATGCAAATTTTCCTTTCTGAAAAATGAAAAATAGTCAGTCTCGTTGCTATTGTTATCTAAGGTGTAATTGTGTTTTAATGTCTTAAAATTTACATTTCTAAAAAAAGATATCATTAGAATATTTAGTTGCTGCTCAGATCTGATAACGGGAAATTCACAGTGACCTAAAGCAGATTGTACTTGGTTTATTTAACGTCTCTGGGAGGAACGTTTGGTGACTAGCTCCTGGGTTTGTTTGGATCAGATAGCAGCAGCGTGTCGTCTTCGTGGCCATCAGAGGAGGGATCAGCACAAATGTGTACACCAGTGAAACCTGATCATGAGTAATTGCCAAAATAAGTCGAAGGATTGACCTCTGCAGTGATCCATATTTTCTCAAACAACACACACTTGAGCTAGCTTTGAAATAGCCTCTCCCGTAGAACCGGAGCACCCTGCGGAAACTAGTCATCAGAGTTTTTGTGTAACTAAACAAAAGTTGATTTTATTTGCACACTTGGACTAGGGCCAGGAGCCAAGATCGGGATGTTCTCCGTGTATTTATTCATCCAAACCTTTCATGAATCACGTCTGAAGTGTCTGTGCTCATGTGTCCCTTGTTCACACTTTTAATGTTCCATTTAAACAACAACAGCCGGCGCTGGTGTCTTCCTGGTGTTGTGACAGCTCAGATCCAGCTCTGATGCACCACACAGCCCACATTCCTTTCATCCCAAATCCCCCCCACTTCCTCAGTGTGAGTGAATCAGACAGATGCAGGATCTGGCAGAAGACAGGCAAGTCCACGGTCAGATGACATCTGCGGCATGCACACTGTACAGAGTTGGCACAACTGTCGCCTAACGGCTGCCGGTAGTAACCAGAGGCTGCTTACATCTCTGTTACTCTGCAGGCTGAAAAGGAATGTGTGCCTTCAACGGTAATTAAAGACGGATCAAAGACATTTGTGTGTTTTGTAAAGGTCCAAAGGGCCACTCAGTTTTGAGTAGTAACAAAAACGCTTCCGGCATTGACCTTTGCTGACCCCTCCAACCTTTCTCTCCCCCCTCCTCCTGCTTTAAAGGCTCAGGCTGTTTCAGTCATTTACTCTGCGGAAAGTAACTTAACCGATGAATTATTCCTGCAGAACGCTCAAAGATTACGCTCTAACCTAGAGATGCATGGGCAACACGATAAAGGTTGGAAGCGTTTGTGGGACTATTTCTGTTAATTTCTTGTTTCTTGTTTTTACCGTGGAGGTCTTGAGCCACACAAAACTAATTATGATGAGGACAAGTTTGGAAAAAGTCAAATAGCTCAAGAAACCAAACCCCATCGTGCTCCTGAAGCCGTCTGTGTTTAGTCTGTATTGTTATGATTTAAATTTGGGGTTCTGCTGTGTTTTTACAAATAAAAAATAAAGACAAGAGGCTATCTTTTAGCTAATTTCATAGCACAGCAAAACTCAGAAGTGAGGATTCCTTCACAATAAGAGTCTCAAACAAACAGATGTGCCTCTAAGCATCAGAAACTTTTTTTAAAAATGTGTTTGTTACTGGTTTTGAAACGGATAAACAGAAAAAAAGAATCAATAAAGTATTTTATATACTTCAAATGTTTCGAGGCACATGGGTATGTTTCAGACTTTTAATATGAAGGATTAAAAGAAGTTCTGGATGTTGCTACAGAAAAATCGATAGGAAATGCTTTGATACTCTTTAATTACAATTTTCTTTTCAGGAAAACTGTATTTTTTTTTTTGCTTCTTTCTTGAATTTAATCTGTGTTATTGTGTGTTCTTGTTTTGTTTATATTTATTTCCATGGCTCTGATGTTTCTTGGGAGGATTCATCTGTAGATTAGTTGGACACGTTCAGCTGGAGGGGAAAAAGAAGATGGGCAGCAAGGTTTAAAAGGCATTTTATCATAAAGTTTTACATCTAGAATAATATATTTGCAGCTACTCTACCATCTCTTTATGAAGTATTTCCAAATATTTCAAAAACAGTCAACCAAAAACGTCAAATGAAGTAGTCTTTTTTTGTGTTAAAGCTCTACTTCTACCTAATTTGTGCACCACCATTAAAAAAACATATTATCGTTATTACAGTAATACAGACAGCTGGATGTATTCATTTCTGACAATTATTTTCATTTGAAATGCAAATGATTCTGAAAAACAAGTCAAATGTGAATTAAGAAATGTATTAATTAGTCAGAAACATTCCTGTTCAGTTAAATGAGGAAAAATAAAAGCAGCAGGAATCTGAGGACAGCTGGTGGAAGTCTGCCCTCTAGAGTCTGAAACACTCCTCCTGCTACATTAATCACAGCAACCATAATAAATACGCATATCTGAGGCAAATGATCAACACTTGCAAACATATTGTGAATTTAAAAAATTGTAAAAAAAAATTACATCTTTTTTCTAGGTTTGTGAAAACACCTGAGCATGTTAGAGATCCTCACAGCCGACCTCCCGCGCAGTGAAGGGGGGGGTTGTGTTTTAGCTGAGGCTGGATTCGTCAGCGACACACCGCTGACATGTTGGGAAGTCTGTGGAGCGACTGAGGTCAAACGGGCCTCGTCTACATGGATGAGAGGCCCCGCTGATCCGTTGTGAGTTCCTTTTCCCAGTCCCTCCAGGTGGGTCTGGAAGGTGGCGGTCTGTTGATCCAGGGAGGTGAAACTCTCCTGCACCTTGTCAAACTGCAGAAACAGGAATGTGTCAATTTGCAGATCTATATTTAAGTGTGTTTTCTTTCAGAGAGGAACTTGTGTACCTGCTCGATGTTGGACTGGAGCAGAATCTCGGGCCAGACCGACTCGCTGCTGCTGTTCACCTTGGCGCTGACGTGGCTGTGGCTCCAGGTCAGCTCCTGCAGGAACAGGGTGAAGGGCGTTCAGACTGACGAGATCAAAACAAAGTCTGAGATGTTGTTTTAACTAAGAGGAGAACTTGACCTGTAAGAGCTGAGTGCTGTCCTTCAGAAGGACCTCACACATCTGAAGTTTGTTCTTGTACCGACCCAGTTCTGCAACCAGAGTCTTAAACAAACACAGGAACGATAAACAACATGGAAGTGTTGGAGTTTCTGTCGACAGGCCTTCACACCTGCTCACCTCTGAGTCTGTCTGGACCGAGCTTGGGTCTCGGTGGCCTTGACCCTCCTGTTTTCCTAGCGTGACCCCAGTGTGCAGCTCCTCCAGCTGGGTCCAGAGGCCACCAAAACCCTGCAGCAGGTCTTTCACGCTGACCTCAAGGTCCTCCTGCACCTGGACCAGAGCACGAAGGGACGCTGTCCTGTTAGAGGACAAGGAGGTGTTATATAGGATTATTATTCTGTTTCTGTAAACTTGAACTGTTTGAATTTCTGTGTCTTGTGCTTTTTTTGTGTATTTTTTGTTTGTTTGTTTGTTTGTTTGTTTGTTTGTTTGTTTGTTTAGATTGTCTTACTGCAAACCCTGTTGCAAGTCAGAATTCTACCGTGTTTCCAGCTGCCTGAAGATTAAAAGTAGATTGATTCATCCTCTGATCATTGTCACTTTTTAAATCAGCTGTTTCTGTGAAAACTTGTCCCACTTGTGCCCGACTGGTTCACTGCAGCTTTTGATTTATTTGTTTAGAAGCCAAATTTCTCTTCTATTCAAACATGACTCTAATTACTTTTTAAACATCTAAGTTCTCCTAAAATCTGTTAAATAAATACAAATTTTACAGCTCTGTTGAAGGCATATGAATAAAATGTTAGTTTTAATTGATTTATCTGAATTTATTCAGGCTTCATGTGAGGACAGGATGACGACGATCCACAGGAAGCTCTTCTTTCAGTCCAACCAAACTGATGGAGAAGCTCTCCAGACGTCTGACTGACTCACCTCTGCTGCAGGTAGGAGCAGAGGAGCTTTAGGCTGCCTATGAAAGCAGAAGCTTGGTCCACCTCCGGTCCAACGCTCTGCAGCATGTGAGCCACAGCCTGCAGAGAGACGACAGATTTGAAGGCAAAATAGGTGAAACGTTTAAACTTCTCTCCCCTGGCAGCGCTGCAGGTTCAGAATGCAGCAGGCAGCAGCTCTGTGATTGTTCTCGCTGTCTGAGGCTGGAATATCTTTGTAATCCTGAGGGGAATCTTTGTAAAACCACCAACAAAGACTTTAAACTGATCTACATGCAAACAGTGATTAAAACACAGGAGATAACATATTCTGCCAGAGGCATTTGTTAGAGAGGATGAGGCTGTTTTGTTCCTTTAAGGCGATTTTCTCCATCTTACCTCCAGCTTGGAGAGGAGAGCTTTGATGTGGGACACACTGGGGTCCTGGAGGGGCTCCTGAAGAACACACAGCAGCAGGCAGTGGGTCAGAGCGATGGTCAGAGGAGCATCTGGGCTCCTGGTCTGAAGTATCCTGGAGAAATAGCACTTATTTATTACTGAGAGGTGTAAAAATAACTTATTTTAAATCAGATGATTAAAGCTCACCATGGTAACATGCTCATCTGTGGTGGTTCCACCTTAAATCACAATAAATATTCAATGAATAAACTGAATTAAATAAACCAAGTGGGTAAAACTGGGACCAACTCCTGCGGTTCTGCTCACCTGGGTTGGTCCAGTCCGCAGGTAGAATCTCAGGCCGTGGAAGCAAGCTCCCAAAAGGAGCCACAGCACACAGAGGAGGATCAGCCTGCAGAACAAGTCCTCCAGGGGCAGAGAGGGGTGCCGCAGCACCTCCAGCTGGAATAAAAACCACAGTACACCCACTGAGGCCAGACTGGACCAGGGCCTTGAGGTCCTCAGATCCCAAAAGGTGAGTTTGTGCTCATCTGGTCTTGGATTTAATCTGGAATAAAGTGATAAAAATGTACAAAAAATCCATTTAATATGCATCACGTTGATGTTTTCATGTAGTTAGCTTTGTTATGGTTTAAAGGTGCAATATGTAAGAATGAAATCCTGTGGTGAAATTTGGTTATTGCACGTCATTTTTCTAAGCAAAAATATTCCTCTCTCACTACCGTTTGTGGGTTTCATGGCTGATGCAAGTTATGGATCAGAACGGGATGTTTGTAGATGACAAGTGAAAATGAGTCATACACAGTAAGTTGATATACACTGGCATATCTGGTGCTAGCGCTCTTGGATGTTTAATAGCAGGGAGCCCTTACTACACTTATTATGGTCCTGAATGACTCATTACAGGAAGTAAAATCCCACGATTGACTCATTATTCACTTCACACACACGTTTCACTAATGTCGAGTTGCTGGTCATTTAAAAAGTAGCTTGATATATTTTTAGAGCCGACTATTTGCTTCTAATTCCCTGTTAGCGTTGTTAACTCAATGTTAGCCTCTAGCCTGCTTTGCCCGATATCAGAGTAAAAGAAAAAGAGGCCATGGCTTCTTTGATTGAGAAGTTAGACTGTTTTGTGACTATTTCATTGAATATTTCTTACATATTGCTCCTTTAATTTTGTAAACGGCATCATATTTAATTAACAATAAAGTTGTCTCCTAAGTTGTTTTAAACATTAAATTCTACAGATTGAGTTCAGGTATCATACTTAAAATAAATATGTACAGGTTCTAAGGTTCTAATTAAAGCAAAAAGTTTTAAAGCCATGTTTATTTATCCAGTGTTAGGTGAATTAGGTTGACCTGTTTAGTTCCTCCTGGGATATTCAAAAATGATCCCGGATCCAAGAGGATATGCCATCCCTCCAACGGGACCCCTCTGGAGTTTTCCTCCAGTAGGACATCTCTGGACCAAATGCTCGGATCACCTCAGGTAACTCCTTTTGAAGAGGAGGAGCCACGGATCTATTTTTAAACTTGCCCCAACTACCTCATCTTTTAGGAAGGACACAAATCCCAACGTCCAGGATTTCGTTCATGCAGCGGAGCTTCAAATCCCATGACGCAAGGGGATGGTCAGAATGTGGACAGACCAGTAAATCAAGACCAGGAGCTCCTTTCATCTCCCAAAAACATTACAGTGGATCTGTCTCTTCCTCTGTCCCATTGCACTAAAACACATACTGCTATTTCTCAGGCAGAGTGGCTTTCTGAATCTAAAGGAGCATTTTGGGATCAGAACAAACCACTTCCCTTCCACCGGAGGTAAGCAGGAACATCACCAAACAAGCCACTCACACTGATATGGAGTCTGTCGTCCCTCGTGCTGACAGTTTTAATATAATGTAACAAGAAAACATTGTTTTAACCACCATCACAACAAGTTTTGCTTCCTGCTGCAGGAAAAACCCAAATACCGGCCTCTCCGGAGCTGGTTCAAATGAAAAGTACCTGTTCCTCTGCTGCTGTTGGTTCCTCTCAGCTTCTTCTCTGCCCTCACCCTCCATCACCTCCCACGTCCATTTACCAGTCCTGTCTCTGCCTCCCGTCTCTCCCAGTCGTGTTGCCCTTTGACCGTTGTAGTGGACGTCTGCTAATAAAGGCATGGCAAACACACACACATGCTGGCTGGAACTGCAGTGGAGCCATTGAGTGTCCACCTGCTCGAGCCTTCAAGGCGACAAGCATGTTAAACTGGTCCGACTGGAGGATTGGTTTTATCTGGGTGGTGGCCTTTTTTCCTTTTCCAACATTCCAGTAGGGCAGGAATGCTAATAACCGAGCAGAAGACACACCCTCCTCCACCCAGATCACACAGCAGGACTCATAAACCATTTAACCAATAATAACACAGGTTTAAACCATTAACCCTCAGACAGGTGGATTTTTACCTGCAGGATCCAAATCAAGCTTAGATGTGTCTGCTCTAGTAATGTGTCGGTCGCGAACGAACCGGCTCTAAGAGCCGGCTCTTTGAAGTGAACGACGGGAGCCGGCTCGTCATTGGGAGCCGCCCCCTCCCCTCTCCTCCCCCCTCCCCTTTTGCTTTGGTGAAAGCTACAGGCGATTGGTCAACGTGTGTAACTGCGTGTCCAGACTGTCCACACACAGAGCAGTAGGGACGGGGAAGAGGGAGGATCAGACTCAGACACACAGCAGAGCACATGCGGGTGGAGGGAGACGAGAGAGAGAGAGAGAGAGAGAGAGAGAGAGAGAGAGAGAGAGAGAGAGAGAGAGAGAGAGAGAGAGAGAGAGAGAGAGAGAGAGAGAGAGAGAGAGAGAGAGAGAGAGAGAGAGAGAGAGAGAGAGAGAGAGAGAGAGATGCGACGAAGACGGTAAGAAAATGAGCGCCAGCAGTTGGAAAGTGGAGATTTCTTAAAGTGTTCAGTTATTAAATCCATAAAATGATCAATATTTGACATATTGCATTTTTTACATTAGAAAATCATTTAACATATAGTTTTGCATTATTTTGGTTATAAATGGTCTCTACGCAACTGAAAATCTGAGGAGCCACTTGGGAGCCGAAAGAGCCGGCTCATTTTGGTGAGCTGAGCCAAAAGAACCGGCTCTCTAAAAAGAGCCGGAATTCCCATCACTAGTCTGCTCGGCGTGCTCGTTGGTATTGTGCTGCCATCTAGTGGTCACAACAATAATTACAGTCAGATCAAGACCTGAAACTGACCAAGATCAATGAAACACATTCATAATAATATGTGAATACATTACACCAGCCTGACCATAAACACAATCAGCTAAATCTTTTCTTTAGGGATTATTTTATTCATGTATCCTGACAAAACTCAGATCCATGCTGGACCATGAGCCACACCCCCTGCAGGATGCCCTGTCTGCACTGGAGAGCAGCTTCAGTGACAGACTGATCCACCCTGCTGTGTGAAAGAAAGATACTGCAGGTCTTTCCTTCCTGCTGCTGTTAAGAGTCTATAATGGACACTGCTAATATCAGCTAGCCACATAAAATGATGTGGCAGGCCACATTTGGCCCGCGAGCCTCGTGTCTTGACACATGAATGAATACAAACATGTTTTATTTTTTTATTTTTTCATTTTTACTATAAAACACGGCAGTAGAGGCAAAACAAATGTTTAAATATTAAAATATCTCATTCTGAACGGAGAATCAAATGAACCCCATCCTGAATGTTTCAGAGGAAACTAATGAAGGAGAATCACATCAAACATCCATCGACAGCACGGTAACAGATGGTGTCACAGCTTCCGGGTCACACGATCAAGACGCTTTTTTAAATAATTTTTTGCCACATTTTTCTTTTCTTTTACAAAAGAAAAAAAATGTAACAAAAATATCTGTAAATTAAAAATGAACTGACATGAAAATTGAAATAAGCTCTTAAACTTATCCTTCTAGAACAAAAATTGTTAACACTAGTGTTCAGTTTAGTTCTTATTATATTCATATGTTCTAAATAAAGACCTTATTACTTTTGTTGTTTTCCAGACACTTTTCTGGCAGCTTGTTTAAAATTCAGACACATAAAACTGCGCTGGTACATTTTTTTATCTATAAATATCCACACTCAGGTGGATCCATGATATAATTCTTCATTTATACAAATAAAAACATCTGCAGCAGGAGGAGGAGGAGGAGGGTCCATGCATTAGTCTGCAGCTCTGACGTTAAGCCAGGTCACGGTTTAGTGATGTGAACTTCACTGGTGCCGCTGCCGTTGGTGGTTGTAGTGATGATGTACTGTGTGGTGGCTTGTTGGGTGGCTGGTTGTTGCTCCAGATGTTCTGTTTGGGCTGGGGTCGTGTCCTGAGGAGCGTCCTGTTTCGTCTCCAGCTCGCTCTGACCCTCAGAGATGACATAATGCGTCTGGAGGGAGGAAGATGTCTGTTATTAATTCAGATGTTGAAGTGAATTTAAATAAATGCAAATAAACTTGATTTTTCACGATTAACTTATTGTGTCCTGATGTCATCACTGAAAACTACTGAGACTGTTGATATTTTCTGGTGTTTTTTGCAATGTTGAAACGGGAGAAACATCAAAATCTGATCTTCTCTCATCAATAAATCTTACAGAGAAGCTTGAAAATACTCAAACTTGACACAGAAGTGAATAAATGGTGCAGGACTAGTATATTATGGAGCATTTCTCTTTGAAAAAATAAAATAAAATCCGACAGCGTCCACTCACCGTTTTCACCTGGTTGCTGTTGACCCCAGAGATAGGTGTGCTAGCTTCAGCTATCACGTACTGAGCGTGAGGTAGAGCCATCATTTGGATCTCAGATGCTGAAACAGGAAGACAACATGGTTCTTTACTTTCACACAGAGCAGAAGAGTTTTTCTAACAGGAAACGAGACTCACAGTAGCCTCTGTAGTTCCAGTTTCCGGGTATGTAGGCGTGCTGCACGGCCCCCGGCTGCTGGCCGCTGCTCGCCTGCAGGCTGTGGCTCTGGGCTAAGGTGACGGGGGTCAGCTGGGCCGGGCTCAGGTCCTGACTGGGCTGCTGAGAGGCTGGGCTCAGAGGCTGACTGGTACTCTGCATTCAGATATTCATGTTTAGGTTTATTATTTACTTGCATCATAAAAAACGACCCCGGTACTTTGCGCTTACCTGGGTGGAGCCTGATGGCTCAGACACCTGGATGTGTTGCACCTGGATGGAGTGCTGGCTGTAGCCATGAGGGTCGTGCAGCTGGCTCACATCTACTGTCGGGGCTTGGGAATGTGGGGAAGAAGCCTGTGGAATATTACACTTTCCTTAAAGGTGTATTCCGGATTAGATAAGAATGACATCCTGTGGTCAAATCTGGGTACTGCGGCACAAATTTCTAAACAAAAAGCCACTTCCTCACTCCTGTTCTGTGATTTTCATGACTGATGACGAGTGCTACACAGTAAATTGATAAGTAAATAAAAACATATCTGGTATTTGCACTCTTGGGTGCTTCACTACAATTCTTTCATATTGCTAATAAGAAACAGCAGGAAATGTTAAACAATTTCCCTGCAGCAAATCCTCACTTTTAAATCCGCTTTGAGCTCAAAAGGATTTAAATCAGGTGAAGTTTGTAACGTACCGGAGCCACCTGGACCACCTGCAGCTGGATGTGCTGCGGCTGCGACAGGCCGCCTGCAGGCTGAGACACTGGGATGTACTGGATTCTCTGGTAGTCTCCCTGAGTCGTTCGGAAGTCTGTGGTCAGGGTTTGAGAAAGTTCCGTCATAGCCTGGGTCAGCAGGTCTGTGGTCTGATGGGAAAAAAATCACAAAAATCCATCAGGAACAGCAGCAGGGGGGATAAAACCAACTTTTCCCACCTGAACTCCTGTAAATACTAGTATTTAATCTTTTCTAACAAAGGATTAGCAGGAGCTACTGGACTATTCCCATTATCCAGCAAAACCATCCCCAGTAGCATCCCTTTCCCCCCCCTTCTCGCGCACTCGTATGTGGACCAGCCTGCTGCTCAGTATAAACGCAGGTAAAGAGGTCAAGGGTCGGCCTCTTGGAGGAAGAGAAGCGGTTGTTCTCACCACAACAGCCTCAGCTGTGGCTCCATCTGCGTTGATGACTGCAGGAGCAGAACTGATCACGGCTGTGGTCACGGGAGTCTGGATGGAGTTCGCCAGCTGAGCGAACTCCGGGTGCTTTTTCCGGATGTGCTGCACCATCTTCGTCTGAGGAAAACAGTTTCTTAGTCGAGATCCTACAAGTAATCCCAGTAAAGTGTCAGTGTGTAATGAAGCACTACTGACCTTGCTGCTGTATTGTTTAGCACAGTGTGGGCAGCAGACCGGCGCCGTGGCGATGGTCCCGGTCAGCTGGGTGTGCGTGCTCAGCATCGGATCGGGCTCACCAGGAGCAGCAGGACGTAGCTTTCGGATGCTGGGGGGCAATTCTGCTCCGGGGTGGTTTTTCAGAATGTGGGCTTTCCTCTTACTGGCACTCTTGTAGACCTGAGGGGCGTTAACGTCTGTTGACCCTCCCACTGTCTTTATGGGTGACCCCGCGAGGGAAGTTGACCATTGAGCAGGATTGATGGTTTATCCCTTGAGGACCACGTGGCAGGGGTGAGGTGGTGCTCACTCCTCACCCCTACCGCGTGGACCCAAGGGACAAACCATCAATCCTGCTCAATGGTCAACTTCCCTCGCGGGGTCACACCCATTAGGACAGTGGGAGGGTTAAATTAACAGTATGTGACTAGATGAGACTAAAGAAGAATGCAGGAACCTTGTCGCAGTACTGGCAGAAGTAATCCCGGTTGGGTTTGATGATCGGGAGCGTGAGCTCCGGAACGTCATCGATGCGCATCTCTGGATGACGTTTGGATAAATGATTTACCTGCAACAGGAACAATGATGCTGAGTGTACAAAAATCCAGAACGTAACAGAAAAGCGACAGCCGCGGCTCACCAGCATCCCTCGGCGGCGAAATCCCATCATGCACGACCTGCATTTGAACGCAAAGCTCTCGAAGTCGGAGGTGGGAGTCTTCGTTTTGTGGGTTTTGGAGCGATGGGCCCGGTCGGACTTCTTTGCCTCTCTGTCTGGATTGTGCATTCGCTGCATGTGCTCCCGGAGCTTATCCTTCCTCTGAGGGAAAAAACCACCACATCAAGAGCCTTCACGCTTGTCATTCCAATAACTCATCGCAGCGTTTACCTTAAACTGTTTGCCGCACGTCGAGCACAGGAAGTCCTTGCGGTCGGAGTGACGTAGCATGTGCAGGCGCAGCTTGTCCGGCCGGCAGAAGGCCTTCTCACAGTTTGGACACTGAAAGATCTTCTCCGAATGGAAGCAGCGGATGTGCTTTTTCACCTAAGGACAAACGCTTTTCCCATTAACCGAGTATCAAAAACTACAGAAGTTTTTTTTAAGTTGTTCCTGCTAACCTGGATGAAGTCGCTAAACGTTTTCTTGCAGGAGGGACAGGTGTAGCAGCCATCCACAGAGTGCACCTCCACATGACCCTTCAGCAATTCCAGCCGTTCGAAGGTCTCGGGACACAAGAGACACGCGTACGAGCAGTTCTCTGTGTGCTCCACCAGATGGTCTTCCAGGGCTGAGTCGCTGGTAAAGCTCCTACTACAAATGTGGCAGGAGAAGGCGTAAGCGTCGCGGCCGTGGACCCGCAGGTGCTGGTCCAGCCTGTCTTTGTCCCGGAAGACCTTCCCACACAGGGTGCACTTAAAGGGACGGAAGCTCTTCCTGATGAAAAGGTGCTGCAGGGCTGCATTCTGCAAGGAAAAGAGGAGAATGAAGGATCTGATGAAACAGGATGGCTGGGGCATTGGCAGATCCATGATTGTTTATCGTTCCCCCCCCCATCATCCTCCAGGTTTGACCTACCTGCACATCCATCTGAGAGGAGGGAACGCAGTGAGGAAGAGAGACAGACGGTTTAAAGGGACTCCAGACAGAGGATTTAAAAACGTCCTCAGGCTGCAAACTCACCCGGATTTTCTTTGCACGATGGGCATTCTGTGACGCCAGTTCTGATTGGCCGCTCGGTGCCGGGAACTCCTTCAGTGGACCAGGCAGGTCTGGACTGGACGGCGTTATGGACTCTGGAAGTTGTTCCTCAGCAGGGGGGACAAGCTCACTCTCTGCCTCAGTCCCAGTCGCCGCCTCTTCCTCTTCCTCCTCCGGCTCCATCTCCACATCCTTCACTCCATTCTTCACTCCTTCCATCTCCTCCTCCACCGGCTTCTCTGTCAGTTCCAGCATTTCCTGATTAAAAGCATTACAGATTCATAATTGATTTTCCAATCTCGTGTAGCAGATCCCACCAGAACCCCCTTACTGCTGCCTTGTCCCCGTTGGCATCCGCAAGAGGTTCTAGTCGTATAAATTTAGGTGGACGTCCAGGTCTCCTTCCTGTCCCAAACCTCTTCCTGCCTCTGCCTCTGCCTCGACTTCTGGATCTGAGAGCGGAGTTGCAGCGGTCAGGTCATGTGACTGCCACACTCAAAAAATAAAAATGAAAAGATAAAAGGGTGTAAACCTCGTGATGGAGCTCAGCTTGTCGTCGTGCATGTTGAGATGCAGCTGCAGCTGCTCGGAGCTCACGAAGCGGCGGTTGCACTCGTAGCAGGGCCAGTTCCACTCCTGCTCCTGGAGAGCTGAACAAACGGGAAGATGTGAGAGGAGCCCAAGCTCAAACACAGCTGACTCAGCGGTCTGGAGTGGTCACCTTTCCTCTCCTCCTCTGTGACGCTGTGGATCTTCTGATTCACAAACTCTGCATACGAGGCGGCGTACCACACCTACAAAATAAAACCTCACTTTAACTTCACACACCACTAACTCCACATACAGTGGAGCAAAAAGGTATTTAATCAGCCTCTATTTGTGCAAGTTCTCCTAAAAACATGAGGTCTGTAATTTTCATCATAGTATACATCATCTGTGAGACAAAATGAAAAAAAAAATCTTGAAAATCACATTGTCTGACTTTTAAAGAATTTATTTGCAAATTATGGTGGAAAATAATTAGTCTATTAAAAAAGTCGATTTCAATACTTTATGTTAAACGTTTTCTGTAAGTTTTCACACACTGTTGCCGGTATTTTGGCCCATTCCTCCATGCAGATCTCCTCTAGAGCAGTGTTTCCCGACCCTGGTCCTCAGGGCACACTGACCTGCATGTTTTCCATGTCTCTGCTTCAGCACACCTCCGGAGGACATCAAGTGCTGCAGATGCCTGTTAATCACTCATTCATTTGAGTGGGGTGCAGGGCAGCAGAGAAACCCTGGTGTTAAAGGCAACATGGAAAATATGCAGGACAGTGTGCCTTGAGGAGCACGGTTGGGAAACACAGCTCTAGAGCAGTCATGTTTTAGGGCTGTTGCTAGGCTACATGGACCTTCAACTCCCTCCAACGATTTTCTATGAGGTTGAGATCTGGAGAATGGCTTGACTACTCCAGGACCTTGAAATGTTTCTTATGAAGCCACTACTTTGTAACCTGAGCGGTGTGTTTGGGATAATCGTCATGCTGAAAGACCTAGCCACATTTCACCGTCTGTGCCCTTGCTGATAGGTTTTCACTCAAAATCTGACAATACAGGACCCCATTCATTCTTTCTTTTACACTAATCCGACGTCCTGGTCCCTTTGCAGAAAAACAGCCCCAAAGCATGAAGTTTCCACCCCCATGCTTTACAGTTGGTTTGGTGTTCGTTGGATGCAACTCAGCAATGTTTCTCCTTAAACACAGCCCTTTGGGTTTCATCTGACAATGAGACATTATCCCAGTCCTCTCTTGGATCATCCAAATGCTTTCTAGCAAACTTCAGACGGGCCTGCCCTGCACATGTACTGGCTTTAGTAGGGGGACACATCTGGGACTGCAGGACTCAAATCCCTGGTGGCGTGTAACTTTGGTCCCAGCTCGCTGCAGATCACTCACTAGTGTAGTCCTGGGATTTTTACTCACCGTTCCTGTGATGATTTTAAACCCCAATGGGTGAGATCTTGCAAGGAGCCCCTGATCAAGGGAGATATCAGTGGTCTTGTATGTCTTCCACTGTTTAATAGTTGCTCCCACAGTTGACTTCTTCACACCAAGTTGCTTACATATTGCAGATTCAGTCTTCCCAGCCTGATCCAGGTCTACTGTTTTGTTTCTGGTGTCCTTTGACAGCTTTTTGGTCTTGGCTATAGTGGAGTTTGGAGTGTGACAGTTCTGATGACGAGTTCCAACAGGTGCCATTAATACAGGTAACGAATGGAGGACAGAGGAGCCTCTTACAGAAGAAGCTACAGGTCTGTGAGAGCCAGAAATATTACTTGTTTTTAGGAGGCCAAATACCTGTTTTTCAAATGAAGTCTTTAAAAAATCAGACAATGTGATTTTATTAATTTTTTTTCTCATTTTGTCTCTCATAGTTGAGGTAAACCAATGATTTTATGACTTTGTTTTATTTTGTTTTGATCTATGTGAAGCGCTTTGTGATTCTATGTCTGTGATAAGTGCTTTATAAATAACATTTACTTACTTACTAAATTGCAGACCTTTGTCATCTTTTTAAGTGGGAGAACTTGCATAATTGGAGGTTGAATAATTACTTTTTTGCCCCACTGTTTCTAAAGCATGAACACACATCCTACGTTGGACTTTTCCTCATCAGCTCTGGAGCACGTTTAAGACCAAACCCAACTTTCACCGACCTTGAGCTCCTGTTTGGGCTGGATGTGCTTGATGGTCGTGTAAAATATTTCGGAGCCGTACTGGTAGGCCACCAGGTTCTGCTCCAGGTGATTCTGAGCCGGTCTCACAAACATCATCCAGTTACAGCTGTCCTCATCAGAAAGGTCCAACCACATGTCGCTCAGCTTCTCCCCGCCCCTCTCTGGATCCAGCATGCATAGCTAAGACAGAGGTCAAATCAAAGACTTTGACATACGACTACAGTTAATCATCTTTAAAAGGTGAATCCCTGTACTCGTCATATTTTATCAATTAAAATTAAGTAGTTTCACCTGTTCATCTTCAACAGAAACTGGAAAGAACATGCAACAAATAATTCGTTACCCTTAAAGGTGGGGTAGGAGATGTTTTTTCTGGAACGCATTTTGCTTGAAATGCAATACACATACAGATGGCAACCAATAAATTAAAAGTTTTGTCTTTAAAAGGAATATTTTGATCGCCTTTGACAGGTGCAGTCATGGAAAAACTTCATCCAATCTTTGGATCGTGGAGTCCTGATCCGTGCATCAAACTGCCCTGTGACCGCTCCTCCCCCATGTGCACAAATCACATGTTCTCGGCTTGGAGCAGCTGAACAGGAAGTGAAGCCAGAGCCGGACTAGCGTTTTAGCTAGCATACTAAATTGTCACACAGTTATGTAGCCTGAGCAGAAGTAGCGGACGGGGGTTGAGGTGTAATAAGTCAAGTCCTCACAGATGATCTCTGATCTTTGTCCCAGTGGTTCCTGTCTCTTAAACTTACAGTGTGGACAAATCTCAATAACTCCCAATCGGCACCGGACTTTGAGGAGTCCGTCAGAAGCCTGGAGGCTCCGCGGCCGTTACGTAGATTTGTTATGTTGGAAATTATAGCAGAAGAAGTGCAACAACGGGTCAAAATGGTAAGATAATGTTATGTTTTTCACGGTTGTTTGATAGTATTTGTTGTGTCCAGTATTCTCCTGTATTCGGGGGGCGTGGCCTATGGGGAGGAGCCTGATGAAAGGGGGTTGGACCTTTAAATTGTGTCTTTTTTTAATGTAGCCTGCTCATTCAGGCTTTTCCTGGAACACCTTCCCTAACTTAAACGTAAAAATCAGTTCGGAGTTACTGATCTGACATGTTTTGGATTTTAATGGAGAAAAATGGAAAGAAAAAAAAGAAGCTGAACAAAAGCAGATATTTTGGTCTCTAAAACATTTTACTGTGAATTACTGCTTTTACTCACATCACATGAACATTTGATTTTGTGTTCAATAAAGATGCAATAAAAGCCCTCATCATATCGAACAATCACTGAGATGTATTCAGGCTTCTGGCAGAATGAGAGAAAAAGATCCCCCTGACTGAACATCTTGACGTTTGAGTCAGCTGACTAACATGACATGGCGCTGACTCACTTTCAAGTGGAAGAAGTGGTCCTGCAACTCGCTCTGTGGAACCAGCGGCGCCTCCACGGGACCAAACTGGGTGCGTTTTGGGATCCGCCTCTTGGAGAACACCCCACCCAGGAAGCGATCGATGTAGAGGATCTGAGGCAGACTGGCCCTGGCTTTGGACAGCACCGGCCGGTTGGGGATGGGGTGCAGCGGACCGTGCAAGGGACAGTCCATAGAGTTGGCGCTGTTGCACTCCTCACACCCTGACACAGCAAACGGGATGAAACTGTCAAACTGCAGCCTGACTGGATAATTTTTGTGCTTTGAGAAAAACATTTGGCTCCATAAGAACACAGAAAACAGAGCAAAAGACACAACTGTACATGCATTACCTCATTTGTTTATTTTTATTTACTTATTACAAATAAAAACGTTCCTTATGCTCCAATTTGGGCTAAACTACTGAAACTAAACAGGTGCGTTGGCCGAACTTTACTCACAGAGGCTGTGAGGGTCGAACCTCTGCGGCTGCCGCAGCTCCCAGTCATCCATCTCAGAGTCGTCATCCTCAGCTTCATCTGAGTCATCGGTGGAGTCCGTGGCCCCGAGCGGACTGGTGGGGGGGTCTGTGATGTCGGCCATATCTGTGAGAGAGTTGGATGCAGATAGCTGCTCCTGTTTGTGTGAATTAAAACCCGTAAACATGATTAAAGCAACCTGTGTTTAAGTTGACAGACCACATATATGAAAAAGGAGGTTTTCCTTGTTTGCTTAACATTTTTATTAAATAATGAGTCCTCACCTGGGAAACGGGAGCCAGGATGGCTTGAGGGCCATCTGCTACGTTACTGAGAACATGCAGGTTGGCAGCATTCATGTTCTGACCTCCAGGCAGCAGAACCGTGACCTGCAGAGGAGTTCAGGTCTGTTTAATGAGTCTTTAAATGTAATGGAGCTTAACCTTGTGATGTGGAAGAATCAGGTAGGCCTACCTGCTGAGTAGTACCATCCTGCTGAATATATGCCACTTGTGGCTGATCAGCAAATACAGTCTGAAAGACAATTTTAGAAATTGTGAGGGGAGAATGTGGTCAAATGTTAGCTTAAAGCTAATTTTAGGAACATTTTCAAGAGTTACTTTGTGAAGATTATAAGTACCACCTCACCTGTCATAGATAGCTTTCTGCACATCTGTTCTACAATGTCTAATAGGCTTGATGAGCTAACAGCTAGCCACAGCTGAGCAAAGACCAAATTGTACAGCTGCCATCTTTGAACAGCTTGAATTTCCAAGCTACCACATTTCCAAAAGGTTTGTGCAAGTTTATTGGATAAACCTTTACTCCACCATTTCTTTTGCATTACGTGTTTATCTGCAAGAGTAAACATCACATCAGCAGAAGCAAAATGCTACATCGTTGGGCGTGGATTTATGCTGAAAAACTAGCTAATGCTAAATCTTTTGTGGCGTAAAAATTATAATAAACATTAAATGAACCGCTGGGAAATTTTGGAGACTGAAGTGGATTTAAGACACCAGCAGCGATACACTTTGGCCTAGGCTTTTCATCAAACTACCCATTAGCTCGTCACATCGGATGTAGACACTGTTTCTTCAAACAGAGCCCATTCAGGAAGCCATCTACAATGGGTCAGGCAGTAATAATCTATTAACACTTCAAAACGGCTGGAAAAGTCACATCAGTGCCTAACATGATCCTCTCCCTTACCTGAGCACCATCTGCCGGGTGGATGTAGACCAGCGTGTGCTCTGCAGACTCCACAGAGGTGTAAGAGTTTCCATCTGCTGCATAAACCACCTGCTGCCCGGCCCTGTCCGCCTGATCTCCACTGTAGACAATCTGGGCCATGGTGCCACCTTCAAAATGGACCTGCAGCACGTGCACGCAGAACACAAACTTAAAAACACCAGTGGAAATGGATCAGCGGACAGATGGATCAGATCTAGTAGGCCATCTACCTGTGTGGGATTGCTAGCATCACTGTTAACAGTCTGACTCCACACAGCTGATGGTTCCTGCTTGGTCTCCATGGCAGCACAGCACCAGCTTCTCCTGAAAATACCAGGGATGATTTATGTCAATAATAAATGTTATTGTGATAATAAAATGTGAAAAAAAAAAACAGAATACATTCTTGGGGTCTTATTTGTAAAAATACACTTAGGAAATCATGAAGGAAAAACAGATTTTACTCTGTATTTAAGAGTTTATGAATGGGATTATCAAATGCCAGTTATGATGTGTTTTATTTCTAGATTTGTGCAGCAACTATGGATTGACGCGGGCCGATGGAGAGGTCTGGATTCATTCCCCAAATACAACCAGAAACTGAGATTTATCCAAGCATATCTTGGATCGGGCGACAGCACTCGAGTCAAAATAAACCAGCGTGTGTCACACGCAGGTCTCCGCGGGGGTAACGGCGAGGGGAAGCCGGCTTGATGTGGAGGCCGCCCGGGGAACGGTGGTTAAATAAAGCCACGGGTCGGCTCAAAACAGACACCCAACAACCACACATTCCTCACTCATTCACAAATATAGTTGGTTTAATCAACACAAACTTCATCTCCCCCCATTTTAACCCCGCAGGTTCTCGGTCCCAACCGGACCATACCACAAAATGCAGCGCTGCAGAATCACGGGCATTTACCGCACTGCTACGGTAGCAAACAGCCGCGTAGCCCCAACGTCAGGCCGCACACCCGGAATAACTTAACTTATCTGACCGCAGGACACGGAACACGGTTTAGATTTTTTCACAAAATTCATTTTGAAGTCCTTCGGGGCCGAATAGTTTGCACAGACTCACCCGTCCCCCGTTTCTAGTTGAGCCCAGCCCTTCAAGTCTGCTGCGAACAAGGAAGAATGGGCTCCATTTTGGGTGGTACTAACAACAACAGCGAGATCAAAGAGAGAAACTATTTTTTCTATCGGTAGATTTACTTTAAAACGCCACGCTGATTTTAATTTACGTTTACAGGAAAACTTAAAAACAGCCCAGACACAAACCGGATCGCTATAAATTATCAGGCATTAGTGCAGTTAGTGAAAAATGTACAGGTTGTTCTTACCTCAGAATGGTAGCTGCAGAGATGGCTGCGTTGCATATATTAACATAATCTCCCTAGCAACACGGCAAAGCGTGGCCTCTCATTGGTCGTTTTAAGATTTGGCCCAAACACTTTGTAAGCTGTTTTAGGACACAATTTTTTCTACTCTTATAAATAATATTTTTTACTTTATTTTGTTGTGTGTGTTGCTCCTGTTCATTTTTCACAACGAACTGACCAGAACATTTAAATTATAGCTCCCTAAACCACAGCCAATCAGAAAAATTAAGTCCTGGAGCATCCAATGGAATGCAACCTGTTGTCCAAAGCGCAGTTTTAACATCAAAAGTTACATTTAATCTGCTTTGGAGAGAAATTCAAACGTGTATTTTTTTTTACCTTAAACCGTTATTTGGTCATAAAAATTGAAATAACGCTTTTGTTGTTTTAAACTATCGTCTACAATAAAGAGAAGCACGAAGGTGTGTCGCTTTCTTGTGGCGATATGGTAGAAAAACATGAACCTGATTCATATAGCTTTATAATGTATCAGTGCAACCAATAAAGAGACAATTTTACTTTATTTATTTAGTTACTCGTTTATTTATTCAGTTAGTTCAAAAGTCTGGCGAGACTTTGTTGGCATAAATGTTTTTTAATAATCAATCTGTCTCCTTTTACAGACTTAAGTCCTGTATTCAGAAAAGAATATTTATCCTGTTTGTTTTACAAATCATCATAATACACTTTTAACAGCTTTATATATTATATCCACCATATTCAGTGCAAAAAAGTATTTTAAAAGCTGCTGAAAACTATCTCTGCTTTGGCTGAAGACCACCCAGTCATCTGCACTTACGATTATCATTTTATAAACTAGAACATAATGAGTAAGTATCAAATAAACTAAATTAAAACTTAATTAATTGTAATGTAATATTGACTAATTTTCCAATGAGAAAAATCGTTTTCAACCCTTTGGTGATGCAGATTTGACTTCAAAATGGAAACTCCAAATGTTCATCTCAGTCAGTCCTAAATAGCACAACAAATGACAAGGCAAAAAGAAAACTTCTGAGATTTAGAGTGGCTGTCTCTGGGATGCGTGGAATGCTAGTTCTACACTTTTCACTGACACGGTGCGAGCCAAAGCCGTTAAACCATTTTGAAAGCTTTGAGCGCTCCCTTTGGTGCAGTTGCATCATTAATTGGGAACAGAAATAAATTTTAAACTACTTCCAGAACTTAGCAGAGTGAAAAAGTGAGCAAAGGGAACTTGGTTAATGAGGCAATGAAAAACCCACTTTAACAGAGTTTTAGAGATGAACCGTCATGGAGGACATCCAGGTCCTTCATCATTAGCCTTTGTCAAGGACCAGCTGGTGGAAATCTGTCAAATTCATGAAGCAACTGATTTTTGAAGCTTAATGAGACATTCAATAAACTATTTTAACAGAACTTTGTGTAAAAATTCACTCCGGTTCTACATGTGACTCCCACCACTCCTGCAGTGGAGCATGGTGGTGGTACCATCATAATGTGGGAGAGCCCCATAACACAGAGGCTAACCAAATTGAAATAATTCATGTTTTCAGACTTTTAAAAAGTTAAATGAAACAAATAAAGGCTTTTAATTCATTAAAATATGACTTCACATCCCATCTGTTCAGTCACACTTTTGTCTTCTATATGGCATGCTATTTCATAATAATAAACTAAACAATTGTTTCATTCACAGCTGTGCTAAAATTCTTCTAAAAACCACTTTTGTTGTGCACACTTAAACCTGTATCAAATGACATGTGAGAAAATAGCAATTCTGTAAACACAAAAGTCAGTCTTTTGTTAAGATTTTGTACAATAATATTTACAACATTTTGCACAAATCCCACTAGACCCGATATCACTTCATATGCTGCTTCTAAAACATTTAGTATATTTTCCCCCTCTTTTATAGACACACATTTTTGAGTCATGTTTTTTATTTTCTTTGTTGGTTTATGAATCATTCAAGAATAAAAAAGGAAACCAATCATAAAGGAAGTAAGGTCCCATTTAATATTTTTAAAACATAAATACTTTTAACATTCAACCAATGATTCTTAATAACCAATAACTTGAAAAATCTCAGAACAGTCCTCATAAAAAATAAGAAAATGGGACAAGTGGGTTTCCAAAGTTCAGGACTAGAAATTAATGGAGGGATACTTCATCTTTCAGTTGATACCGAATAGTTGTCAAGAAGCATTTCTGAGGTGAACCGGACAACAAATAAATTGAAATCCAATCTAAAACAGCAGGTGTGATATTATGTTATTCTGTATCTACAACAGAGGTCAGATAAAACACAGACTGCAGCCTTCTGTAAAGCATGGCGGGAGCTGTGTCATGATGTTGGGCTGCATTTTAGAGGTGTTGCTCATCTTTTTTCCAGCTGATATTGTAGAAGGTGTGAGAAACTCATTTAATGAACACATTTGCAATGGTCTCTAGTAGGACTGCATGCCTTGTAATTCGTTCCAGGAATTAGAAGTTACCCATATCATAGCTGAGCTTCAGACGGCAGGTTTTGGAGTCTTATTTCCTGATATTTGGACGACTCGCCTCAGATTGAACAACAGCAACGCAACTCTACCACTGACTTTCAACTTTGATGTTCCATCTCCACAAGCCTGGAGGAGCTTCTGCCTTGTGGTGGTGTTGCTAATGCTAACTGTTAGCTTCTATTAGCCAAGACTTTGGCTGCTGATTCCCAGATGCTAAAACAACAGCCTTCCACATTGTGAGTCAAGAAGGGTGAGTCCATGGACGTTAACTCCGGAATAAAAATAAAAAATAAAAATGTTAACTCCGGGATTGTTTTTTTTAAATCTGATAGCGCCATTTAGTGGCTCATAAATGTATCACACTTAAGTGGTGGTTCTCATTTCTGTGTTTATAGCCGAAAGCAACACCTTTCGTTCATGAACGCGGTCCTTTAACTGACAAAACAGAGCTAAAACACATTGTTTTAACTATTATTATGCTCATGTTATGTTGTGCATTCATATATTTATATTTTAAATATTTGTTCTTGAGAAAGGTCGCTAACTGCATCAGCTGAGGTGATCCTTAAACGCTTGGGCACGCTCTGTAATTGGCGTCCATACATCTATTGACTCAGTTCATATCGCATGGAGCTCTATGGGACAGGGGCAGACTTAGAAAAACATAAAATATGTATTGTCTACATTATAATACAGTGCATGATAAGACAATCACTTTTACGGATTTCTAAAAAATCAAACATAATTCCTGACAGGGGAAAACTTCGGATAGCAGCTTTAACTGACAGTGTGACTTGGATCTGTCAGGCTTTTTAAATCCATCAGAAGCTGATGCAGGAGATAGGTGTAAGAGACTATTTTCATGTTTAGCCTGCATGAAAAACTCAAGAGTGACTGATTATAATCAGGAAAATTCATGTCAAAACTGTTTTTTTAGTGTCCCACACCTTTAAATATTTAGATTCTGCACCCAAATCAAAATTCAAAGAAAATGAAACAAATGATCTAAAAATGCTATTTTAAGAAGCTCAGAGAATTACAAGGAGTATTTTAAATAACCAAGTATTTTCTTATTGTTTATCCCTTATTCTGCAGCACGGTGGGTCCGGTCTGGCCGCCGGGTGGCGCTGTTCGCTCAGGGGAGGTGGAGGAGGGAGGAGGGAGGAGGCAGCTCAGCTCCAGTATCTCCGACTCTCATTTCTAGAGGAGACTCTCAGTCTGCGGCGACCTTTGCCGTCCTGCTCGGTTTGTTATACTAAAACAGAAGAAGCGGTTCGGTTCTGTCCCGGTTCTACGGGTTCTCCTCCAGCTCGGTCCGCTCCTGCTTCTCACCACAGCTGAGAGGATTTAATTTGTTTACGGCAGCCTGAAGATGGGTCCAGTCCCTGCGATTTCTGTCCTGGTGCTGGGCATCGTGGTTCCAGCTTTGGCCGGATATGTGGAGGTATGAGCTAATTCTGATTTATTATGATGGTGATAAATAAATAAAAGCAGCCGCCCGCGTTCGTCCTCTTAAACCCGTCTCCTCTTTGCGGATTTTCCTCGCTGCCTGTGATTTCTGCCACAAGTAGAGGAACTAACCGCCTGAGTTTGTGTTGACAGTCTGAGCGTTTCTCTTATCACAAGACACGATCACACAAACAAGAAGTTAAATATTAATCAGATCACTTCCAGTTCGTTCTCCACCTCATTCCTGAGGTCTGGCTGTTGCTGGTTTGGGTCCAGGAAGCTTTTAAATCAGTTTCTGCTGCAGAGATCAAGTTCGGGCCTTTTTAGAAACACAGCATCACAAACACACAGCTGGAAATGAAATTCAGGGATCAAACTCTGGCTCTTTCCTCAGGATGGTCTGCAGGTGATCCTCCTGTCCCACACTTTCACACAGCAGGGAGAAGGCAGTTTCTAAACCAAAACAGGCCCAAACCAGCAGAAATGGACCGATGTGGGGGTTTCTGCAGCTGATTTCAATGCGGATTTAAAAGAAAATATATATATATATATCAAACTGCTTATGTGTTTGTGTCTTTTCAGCTCATAAATATCTAAACATTCACATGAGTAGATTTGTGTTTTAGAAATAATAAAACTGCACACATTCCTACCTGTGCAACAGTTTACTGGCAAAACATTTTCCATGTTTTCTCTGCAGAAGCAGCAAATCCGGGCTAAGCATTCCTAAAGGAAACACGTTCTACCATTTTCTCTGATAAATAGAGCATAGCTCTTAATAAAATTAGTATAATATTCTCCTCAGCTTCCTTTGAGGTCTGCCGGTGTCATGCTGAAAAAAGCTCACCTTTCATGGAAAGAGAAACATGTCACAGGAAGTGCTTTTTCCTGCTGCTTTTTTTTTTTCAAATCTAGTATGGTGGTTTCTAAAAAGCAAGGAAAACAGCTAAATTAGATTAAATAATTCAGCCGAGTGAAAAATCCTGGATGTTAAACCAGAAAGGCTACAAACAATTCCTGCAAAACTGCTGCAAGATACAAAAAGCAGCTGCTAAAAAAAACCAAATTTATCACACGTAATAACATTCTTAAGAAGTTGAAGAATAACAGATCACTCTTTACAACCCGCTGAGTTCTTTTATGTTCTAGATTCGACTCATAATACCTTTGAGAGTATTTCCCATGTTTTAATAAACCCTGGGGATTCACTGTGAGTCCGATGTCTCGTTTTCCTGCTGCCTCACCACGTATTGTCCGTGGACTCTGACACCTGCAGAGCCACACACACGTGCGTGTCATCGTGCAACAATGCTCCCATTTTCAGAGCAAACAGACCCACAACACACACGTCCCCACTCCCCTTAGAAGGTAAACATAGCTTTTTCTGCTCAACCATGACAAACAGTTTCTACAAGATGTCTCCTCCTGGTGCTGCTGTGCAAAGAAAGAACTCACAAAGAAATTATTTTCCTTTCTGCTTTTGCAACAAAGTAGGAAAGCAATAAAGCCCCTCAGCCATTTTGAGGCAGTGTAACCTGGAATTGTGTGTGTGCGTGCAAGGGGGTTATTATGTCCGCAGTAAATTCTGTGCTTAGCTGCTGCACTCTACAAAAGACTTGTGTTATGATTTCCTCTTCAATCAGCCTCCTGAACATCCTAATCGATGTGGCACAGACTCCCCTGAGGTGATTTAATAGATGAGATTAATCGATTTTTCTGATCAGATGAAATTGAGAAATTTATGTTTGGTTTTGGACACTTAGGGTGCACGCAGACGTTAGGGGAAGAGACTTTCTCTAGTTTCTTTTGCAGTAAAACCACACATGCAGAGAGTCTGCTGCATTTTATCAGAGGCATCGCTGGCCAGAAACCTGATTCCATACTGCCAAAAAGGCCTGGCACACCTTAAGAGGAGACATTATGAGGTATTTTTTCTTTAGTTGTAATCGTGTGTATGAAGTTCTTTGCACAGAATTTCTCTAACATAAAGTGATTTAAGCTGATTTGTTTATGACATTTTCAGTACCTTCCAGAATGAGCCATTTCAGGGCTTTGCCCTTAACGCCGGTTGTCACAAATTTGCATCAAACCTGCATTCGCTCCAAATGCAACCACAATACTGCATTTACCTGGAAGAAACTCCACAAGTGAAAACTATTTATAATTGAAAATAAATTCAGGTGTTATGGGGTTAAGAATAGAAACTGTTGCTGGCCACGCCCACCCATCCCAGACTCGGGCTACTGAGAAGTTTGGATATGCGCCAGTGGGCTTGGAGAAGAGCCGCTGCTCCTCCAGCTGTAGCTCCTGTCTTCCAGGTGAAAGGTGGCTCTATTCTGATTTTCCCATTTATGACATCACTAATGGGGACTTTTTGAATCGGCTTGTTTTAGGTAAATATTCACTAAAACCCAAACATTGATGGAAAATTAATGGATGTGTTTCATTCAATTTTCGAGCATTTAAAGAGGAAGTAGAGATCCACGTGGCAGCACAGAACGATGCAAAGGTGAGTCAACCTAAAACCATCCTGTGTTCAGGAAAGATCGAGTTAAAGATGTTTTGGGCCAAAGCATAGGTCATTTTAGCTTCATGAAAGTTTAGCTCATTATCAGTAAAATTGCCAATTTAACATTTGCTAAGGTCCTTTTTAGTTTAGTTTAGTTTTGGTAAATGGCAATAACTAAAACTACGCTAAGATCTGTGAACATTTTTGAAAAATGGGCAGAAAATAAGAGAATAAACCGTTTTTTTTTGTGTTTGTTTGTTTTTTGTTTTGAGTGTTGCAGAAGAACAAGGTAACATTTTTAACTGGATCAAGTAAAAATTTGGACTCCGAGTTAAAGGCATATTCTACCCCTAAGTGAAATTTAGTCTGTTTCCGTATTCCTCAGAGTTAGATAAGTCAAAACACATTTTGAAACCAGCCACGCCATTTTCCTGATCAGTCAGTACTCTGTTAGCTTTAGCTTAGCATAAACACTGTAAGTGAATGGTAACAGCTAGCATTTTGTGTGAAAAACTCATGAAAGTTAATTAATAGTGATGCTAATTTGACCTCAATAATCATATCAACTGCAAATGACATTGATGAGTTACACAAACTAATTACAGGAACCAATTTAGACATGGGACTACATGATGGCAAAGCACAGTGTAAGTCCTAACTTCTACTTCTCCGTCTGCGTGGGTGTGGAGACACGCAGCGCCATTATGCGTCGACTCAAGGACTCTCCTACAGGCTTGCAGAGGCTGACAGATCCACACCTACTTTTTTAACTATCTGTCAAAAATAACGGAGACCGCAAGCTTGTGATCGGTCAGGACGCTACTTCCTTTAAATTCTTCAACAGCCTAGATAATTAGCGGCCGATACGAGAAGAACGCCTTGTGAAAAAGTCAGAAAATCTGAATATTTATTCACTCGTAACTGAAGGAGTAAAAAGATACACAGCAAGTGTTTTATTCGTGGATGAAAATGACTGAAAATGTGGGTTTAGAAGTTTTGATCGCATGAACAGTTGGATAAGATTGGTGGGCAGATATGTCTGTGTTAAAAAGTCTCTGAAATACATTAAAACAATGTAAACACAATAGTAAACACACCATCTTGGATGGATACGTGACTGTAATGGTGAAAAGGTACCGCAGAAAAGTGCTATGCCCTCTGTTGTACTGGAGGGGAATTGCTTTGCAACTCTCCCCAGTCAACATAGAAGTCTGAAGGGAAAACATCTTTGTTAATGCCTGTGCGCAACTCCACTCGAGCTGATGAAGTATAAATCAGGCTTAAGCCGTCGGTGCAAGGACGTGACACAGCTAACAGAGTTTTGCCAGATCAGAAGAATGACTGGGCTGGTTAGAAAATGCTTTTTCTCACTTATCTTACTCTGGGGACTATAGAAACCAACTAAAGTTCATTTAGAGGTGACATATCCCTTTCCATCTTCTCTACAGTTTGAAGAACAATGCTGAAGCGCCTTGTTGGACCTCTGATAGTTTAGTTTTATTATTTACTGAGTCTGCGGTTAAAGCTTGTGTTTCTGTTGGCCTCTGCTGCCCCGTCTGGAGCTTGAACTTCATTTTATGGTCTGAACCTCCTCAGTCTGGCTCCTTCAGCTGTGTAATCAGTTTTGTTACCTGTTGGAGCAAACCTTTTGTTTCTCCAGCTGCATTTCTCTTGTGAATTAATTTTCTTCTGCAATTTTTAATCCAAAACAACAAAGTTTGCGTGTTCAAAATCCAAAGGGTGCAGGTTGATGTCAGCAGTTCTGTTTAGCACCAGAGGGTTGCACCACTCTGAGTTGTTTTGCTGATACGGTTCGCCTCTGGATTAACCGAGCAGAGCGAATCTGGAACAGTTAGAGCACTTGGCAGAGATTATTGCAACATGACAAAGTGTTATGCAATGCCACATCACATTTTTGTGTGGATTATAAATTTAATAAAAAAAATTCCTTCCAGTTGGCTTCAGCTGTTTTTGCACGTGTGGAGGTTTAAGGCAAGCCTGAGCCTGTGGAGGGAGGAATGAAGTCCATGTTGGTTCCTCTGGTTTTATATAAATGTGTGAATAAACAAAGAAGAGTGACTGTTGCTTCAGGGTTGCAGCAGCATTTTTCCTCTCTCCGTGTGTGATATTGATGTTAAAGCATCCTTTGGTGTGTGCTTTCATGTGTGTATTTGATCTGGAAGCAGACTGATGTTGACTGACAACCATCCCCATGTTTTTGTGATTATTTGGGCGGGTACGATGGAGGTGTCTCCTGGCAGGGCTGAATGACTTCCTGTGAAGGCCTTTTGTGTTCCTCTGAATAGCCAAAAGCAGCCTGGAGTGGTGTTACCGTACAGAGGTCGATCAGGGAGCAAGAACGTATTTTCCTCGTGGAGAAAAACAACAATCAACCCTTGAATTAGACAAAATGTAAATAAAACTCTCTTCAGGTGTCGCTGTGGTTGGCGAAGGGCGGTTAAATCCTCCTGTAGGCTGTTTGTGTT